GCCCCCAAGAGATGTATGACCTATTTGAATCACCCTGAGAGAGAAAAAGATTTTCTGAAGTTAAATGTATTTTCAACTTTTCAACGCTAAACAGCATTAAGTATTTTTGCTTTCTTCATATAACTTGTGTACTCCGGTATACCTGCTAACGTTAAAAAAGGGCTTCCTTTCAGATTGTAGGAATGCTTGGCCTATCACTCGCCATTTCAGCTATTAAAAATATTCTAACATTCAGCAGTAATGGCAGGTGAACTTTTAAAGCATTTGGTTCAAGCATTTCCACCAAAGAGCAAACTGCTCCCATCATGGCGTATAATCACAGCCATTCCAAGGAAGCCATTGTAACCACGTGTTGCATTAAATATTTTCCTCATTTTTCTTAAACATTTCTCTCTTTTAATGCCAATTACAGCTAGAAGACAATTGAGAGAAATGCTGATACTGAGCCAGTCTTTTGTGCAAAAAAGATTTCACACTTGGTTTCCTTTAGCTTAGTCGTGAATATGTCAGACCTTAACAGTAAATAAAAGAAATCCCTTTGGTTGTTTCTCCTGAAGTCATATAGCAATAACCTAAAAGGAACACTGCAGACTTAAAGGAATATATTTTATTTTAAAAGAACTAAATATTTCTTACCTTTAACAAAATTATGTGCAGCCTAAACCAAAAAAAGTCAAGGAAAGAGGTATTTTCTCCCCAGGCTTCTCTTATGACTAACTGTTGTGGTTTAACCTCAGCCGGCAACTGAGCCCCACACAGCTGCTCGCTCGCTCCCCCCCTCGGTGGGATGGGGGAGAGAATCAGAAGGGTAAAAGTGAGAAAACTCGTGGGTTGAGATAAAAACAGTTTAATAATTGAAATAAAATAATAATATGTAATAATAATAGACTATACAAAGCAAGTGATGCACAATGCAATTGCTCACCACCTGCCAACTGATGCCCAGCCAGTCCCCGAGCAGCGGCCCTCCCGGCCAGCTTTCCCCCAGTTTATGTACTGAGCATGACGTCCCATGGTATGGAATGTCCCTTTGGCCAGTTGGGGTCAGCTGTCCTGGCTGTGCCCCCTCCCAGCTTCTTGTGCACCTCCAGCCTGCTCAGTCGGTAGAGCATGAGAAGCTGAAAAGTCCTTGACTAGTGTAAGCACTGCTCAGCAACAACTAAAACATCAGTGTGTTATCACATTATTCTCACCCTAAATCCAAAACACAGCACTGTACCAGCTACTAGGAAGAAAATTAACTCTACCCCAGCCGAAACCAGGACACTAACCTATGGTCTGAGGCTGTCAGGGCGGGAAGGCCCTATAAGCTTCCTCTAAGGGGACATCAAAAGCATCTGCAAGAAGCAGGACTCCTGAACTCACTGAGTACCTCCAGAAAACTACCAGTAACTGGATAATTATATAGCGGATAAGATGTAAGAAAAATCATCCCAGTATTTGAAATGGAAGACATCGATACTTGCAGGTGTCATGGTACCTAGACAGCACATCTCAGAAAGCAACCGTTTCTGTAAGTTCTAATCTTTTGTCCTTCTGGTCTTTTGTAGGATAATTACTAGCAAAAGAAAAAAAAAAATTACTTGTGCCTTTTTTTATCATAAACAGAAAGCTTGAAAGAGAGAGGCTTATAAAAAAAGACAGTAAAATTGGTCTCTGTTCCTGGAGGACATCTGAAATGGCAGTGGGGAACCAAGACAGTGAAAAATGAGCAAATGAGAGAGGAGTTAACCTACTGAAAACTTTATTTACTTCTGCTGACACTATTTAGTGCCAACATTTAATATGCCTTTTGGATGAAAGTTTTTCTTTAAAAATTCACCACAGTAACCTCTTCATTATGGAGATACCATTTATGAGCAAAAGACTGCTCAGCTGTCCTCCCCTGAAGTTGGGAAATAATAGCCAGAGCATTTCTTAAAATGTGAAATGAGACAAAAGGATACATGCCACTTCTCAAGCCTCTCTTATGTATCCTACAGAGCCACAATGCTTTTCTTAATGTGAAAATAAGGTGCTAGGAGATACCAGGCAAAACAGAAACGCTGACTGAAGGAAAGAGTAAAGAAGGGAAGCTGCTCACATACAGCTTGAAATATTCTAATACCAAATGTGGTGAATAATATCTGGTTTTAAACTACATATATATATAGCCATCACTCACATCACATAATAGTCCTGTGACTCTCCCCTCCCCACCGCTGTGCCCCACCCACAAACATGCACATCAACATCCAGTGTATTTTTAACAGCGGGGCTTGGGTATACAACTTCCTCCAGGAAACGTTAACCTCGCGTACCCAAAGCAGCACACTGTACGCGACTGCTCGGTAACAGCAAAACGAAGGAAGCCCTAATACTAGAAAAATGTAACTCCCTGCAAGAGATGACGCACATAACGCCATGAAGTTGCCTTGCACTGTGCCCATAAAGCAAAGGGCCTCTCCAGCTCGCAGTGTCCCCTCAAAAGATTCTTTGCGGATTTGAGCGGAATGGGCTTTATTCATCATCAGCTCAGCTTGTAAGTTCTGCACCCCAGCAGGCAGAAAAGCCTGTCACAGAATCAAACTCTAACAGGTTGTGATAAAACAGAAATATCTGCAAGTGTCATCCCGCAGCAGCAGAGACTCCCTGTAAAGTCACGTCCACTTGAGCTGAAGACTCTTCCTTAGAAGTCAGCAGCACAGCCTGCGGCACTCTGGGGCGACACATTCAGGTAGAAAATCGAGCCATTTGAACTCCAAACTCTTCTTGAGAGATGTCTGTTGGTCTGTATTAACCACCAGGGAGCCTGAATTACATGCAAAATTGAGATGGATCAAGGCGTGAGAGAGGTAAAAGGGAAAAGAAAAGAAAAAAAAAAAAAGTGTTTCATTTTTCAGTTTGGGATGGTTGGAAGGGTTTTCTCATCTGTTGTCAAAGAAATGAATGGCAACTGTTCAGATACGCTAGAAAGCAGAGTCTTTGTCCTTTGCACTTCACTGGTCACCATCTGGTGTGCTCAATTGCATCGCGCAGAAATCAGTGGTTTTGTTTTTTTTTAAAGAGAAAACATATAATGACATTTCACTATTTGTTTCAGTAATTTTTGCATACTAAAACTTTGCTTTGGAGTCTTTACATCATCATAGCTCCAGTCTATCACAGATTAAAAATGGCTTCACTTATTTGTAACCGTCGTATCAGATCAGACCACTTGCCTGTCTTCCATGGCACGCTGTCTCCCGCGCTGGTCAGATAACAGCTGCTTCAGAGGAAGCTGCGCACGATGCTGCAATAGGTAGCTGGAGGAGAAGTTGCCCAGAAGGAAGTTCCTTCCCCAGACACCTGCTCTGTGTGCAAATTGCTGTTAAACTGGG